TGCGGTGGCCGGGAGCGGCCACTGCACTACAGTCTGGGCGACAGAGTGAGACTCCAACTCAAAAAAAAAACAACAAAAAAAAAACCAGGGCTAAGGCCCAAGGAGGGTCCCTGGAGCCCCCCAGGGCATCCTCCACGCTGGCGGCTGGGTCAGAGCAGCTAGGCCTCGGTTTCCAGGGAGGGTGTCCCTGCTCCCCCTGCCCCTTTCAAACCCTTGAGCTGCCTCTCTATGACTCCTGTTTCCTTGTGACCCTGAATTCCCTTTTCTGGTAGAAACTTCCCTATCCTGGACACTTCCCCGAGGGGCCTAAGACGCATCTTTTCAAAGAAGTCCCGGGTTTTCCTGGAGAAATCCCACAACCTGTGGCCTGGGCCCCCAGGCCCACCTGTAGAAGCCATTGTCACCCTGGGCTGTGGCCACCTGAAGGTGTAACCACAGGTCCTGCCCTCGACCGGCCTCTCCAGAGGTCAGGGCTGCGTCCTGGTCCCTGCAGCTCTTCCCAGGCCGTGTGGGGTAGAGCTGGGGGAAACGTGAATACATTGTGTTCTGTCTGAACACTGTGGCTGTGGAGTTCTTGCCGGGAGCCATGTGGTGGATGGATCCGTGGACTCTGGAGCTGGCCTGCCTGGGTTCGAATCCCGAGAATTGATGTCTCCAAGCCTCAGGTGCCTCACTTATAAAATGGACATGGGGTGACTGACCTAGTTCAGAGGGAGCTCTTAATACCAGGGAGGTAGTCTCTGGCTCATGCTGGCTTAGATTTGGGGTTTTCCCAGGGAAGCTGGGATTCAGGGTTCTCAGCCGGATCCCTGGGTATTTCTCGGTGTCCATGAGTCAGCCAGACGGCTGCTGAGGCAAGCGCCAGAACACACTTGCCTATTTCCAGTACCTCCTTAGTGCTCCCTCTGGGCACTGGGAAGACAAGATGCTGCCCACACCTTTGGCTTTTCTCTGACTCATCATGACATCCCGCAAGTGGCTATGATTAGCTTCTCTTGCTGGGGAGGAAATGGAGGCTCAGAGAGGGGAAGTGGCTTGCCCAAGGTCACACAGCTGGGGAGCCACACAGTCGGGCCCTGGGTCAGGCTTGCCTCCTGTAAGAACTAGGCCTCCCGGGCACATCCCCGGGGCAGGAGTGGCTCCTGGCTCCTTGGGCAGCAGGCACACGCCTCCCCGAGCCTCCAGTCCACACTCAGAGGCTGCGCATCTGGAGGAACAAGACCCAGGGTGGGACACCAGCCTTCACTGAGGGCAGGAGTGGGTCAGGAGGTGGAGGCTCACAGCGGCTCCTCCCTCCTCCCAGCCCACGCGTCTCCAGGCCAGAATCCAGGGCCATACAGGAAGCCCTGGCTCTGGCCCTGGCCCACGGCGGGCATGGGCAAAGGTCACGTGCCGGCCCTTCTCCCTCCCAGAGACTCCACTTCAACCAAAACTAAAAGTGAAACAGAAGTCCCACAAGTTATGTTATTACTAGGACTTTTGTTTCTCTTCACCTTTTTGATTTTTATCCTGAGAATTAATTACTTTTACAGTATACATAAAAAGCACATTTTTAAAACAGGGGAGTACAGCTTCCCAGATCTTCCTGTGCCAGGAGCACCCGGCATAACGGCTCGGGCGGCCCTGCGCTGGGCTCTCCTGCCCCCACCCCCTCCGCCTCGAGCTGAGCTCTGTGGATGCCTGTTAAGGCCGTCTCTCTTTAACCCGCTGCTGCGTCAGCCCCTTTCCCAGCAGACAGCGCTCTGGCACAAAAGCAAGCCCTGCCAGCAAGTCTGAGGACCCGTGCCGGGGCCCTGTTTATAGGGCCACGTACGGTTACGTTCCTGTGCGTTGGGAAAGATGCCGAATGCCCAGCTGTGCTGTGAATGCACACAGCGATGGAGCAAGGCCCAGAGAGGAGGAAGGGAGGCCCACCCCAGGTCACACGACTGGAGGCGGCTGGGTCCCGGGCCTCGGTGCCCTCTTGGGCTCTGGGCGTGCTTCTCACTCGAATCACGTCCTGGGACGCTTGGGTCGTCCCTCCTCCCACTTTCCTCTCCCCGTCACCTCCTCCTCCATCCCGTCGGACACAGTGGTCGATGCCAAGCCAGTGCTGGGCTCTGGGGACAAAGTGTTAGCTCCCTCACTGTCCTCGACTACCAATTAAAGACTTTCACCCATCCACGCATTGGAAATGGTGATGAGTCCCCAGTCGTGCTCTGAATGTAAGCGATGGGGCAACCTGGACCCGGCAGGGTAGCCTTCCAGGCGGGGGAACAGCATCTGCCAGTGCCCTGAGGCTGGCGGGGGCATATGTGCATAACGTCAAGGGTCATGGGGAGCCACAGAAGGTTCATCAGAGGAGTGCTGGTGTCAGATTTGCATTTTGGAGCCACCTAGCTGCTGTGATGGGGGGGGCAGTGTGGATATGGGTGACCCATGAGATGGGTGCCATCGTCCAGGCAAGAGGAGCTGGCTCACCCGCTCACCACCTGGACAATAGGCACAGTGCTCCCTGGGATACGGATGAGCATTTGGAGGCCCAAGCGGGGCCCACTTCTCTAGGGCCTCTGCCCACCACAACCCCTCCTTTCACACCCTCACCCCCAACAGTGCTGCGGTGCCTGGGTGTCCCCACGCGCGTGGTGACCAACTACAACTCGGCCCATGACCAGAACAGCAACCTTCTCATCGAGTACTTCCGCAACGAGTTCGGGGAGATCCAGGGTGACAAGAGCGAGATGATCTGGTGAGGCAGGGCCGGGGTCAGTAGGAGGGCTTCCCGGAGGGGTCGGTCGCCTGGGAGTTGGGCCTGAGAGCTGAGCAGAGCTGGGCAGGCTTGGAGAGGGACAGCATGCGCGGCCTGGGGGAGGGTCGGTCGTGTAGACCGGGTGTCAGGGAGGATCGCGCGGCCAAGGTCATCGGGACTGCCCGATTAGGGGCCTGAGCTTGGTTCCCAAGGCTTCAGCGTGGGAGAGGCCATGGTGACAGCCGAGGACCAGGAGGCTGGGGGCAGGCAGGGGGCTGGGCGTGCTACAGGGGGGTGGTGGTGAGGTCTGGAAAAGAAGGGACAGAGGCAGGAAATGAAGAGGGTGCTTCAGCCGGACTCAGGGTGCTGGGGGGGGGGAGGAATCTCTGAGGAGTGGGGAGGAGAGGAGCGGAGAAGGGCTCCGAGGGAAGGAGTGAGCGCCTGCCGAGGCACCCACCGAGAAGCAGAGCAGGGCAGGGCAGGATGTGCTGAGACAGGGCGGCTGTGCCTCTGGGCCACAAAGGGGTCTGCCCACAGGAGGTGGCCACAAATGTCGTCCTGTTCTGCTCGGTTTCTCTACCAGGAACTTCCACTGCTGGGTGGAGTCGTGGATGACCAGGCCAGACCTGCAGTCTGGGTATGAGGGCTGGCAGGCTCTGGACCCCACGCCCCAGGAAAAGAGTGAGGGTGAGTAGACATGGCTGTCACCAGGTAGGGGAAACAGGCTCAGGGAATGAGTGGCTCTTCTGGGACCACTGAGGGGCCCACACAGGGGTGGGGGAACCTCGCTTACACTTTCATCATGCTCTGCTTTTATCATTTGAAAAGCAATTCGCGTGTCTTGTGGAAAATGGAAGCTATGGAGGAGCACAAAGAAAGAAACCAAGTAGCCTCTTTATCCTCCCCTGCCGAAATAAGCACCATGAACATACAACACAGCCTTCCAGGGACTTCATATTGTGGAATATAAAGGCGGGAGGATCCAAAAACCCCAGAATTTATTTATAAAAAAACTGTGTGTTTATTCTTCCATGCTTAAATTTCAGTCACCCTCAAAGTACTCTCCGTTTGATGCAATACACCTGTCGAGACACTTTTCTACGGCCCAAAACAGTTTTCGAACTTGTCGAGCCAGATGCCTTTTAGTGCTTCTGCTGTTTTTTGTTCCACATCAGCAAAACATTTCCCTTTGGAGACGTTTTTCATCCGGGAAGCACACACACAAAAGTCACTTGGGGCAAGCTTGGGTGAAGAAGGAGGGGAGTCACAGGGGTCACGTTGTCTTGGTCAAAAACCGCTGGACACTCAGCGAGGTGTGGGGAGGTGCGTTGTCCTGGTAGAAGAGCCAACCACCTGTTTGCCACCACTCGGGACTTTTCTTCCACAAATCGTGATGCAAACTTCTCAAAGCTTCTGGAGAAAAACTTTGGTTGACTGTTTGATCCAGAGGGACAAATTCAGAGTGCACTACAAGGGGCTGCCTTCCGAAAAGATAATTCTGGCTGTGTTTTTTTTTTTTTGAGGTTCTCCCTCATATATGTGTAATACATGTGTGAGAGAGAGCACGCACACCAAAGCAAAATTTAGTGCCATGTGGAACCCTTTCTTGGAATATTTTTAAATTCATAGAATATAAAGCATAGGGGTATAAAGAACCAATTACGTGAAAATATGGCTATCACAAGTTTTAAAAAGTAACTGTGTGATATAATAATCTATGCTTCTTATTTTTGTTTTGTTTGTTTGTTTTGAGTCAGAGCCTCACTCTGTCGCCCAGGCTGGAGTGCAGCGGCATGCTTACGACCACCGCAGCCTCTACCTGCTGGGTTCAAGTGATCCTTCCACCTCGGCCTTCCAAGTAGCTGGAACTACAGGCACACGGTACCATGTCTGGCTAATTTTTTTAATTGCAGAGATGAGGTCTCACCAAATTGCCCAGGCTGGTCTCGAATCCCTGGGCTCAGGCAATCCTCTCATCTCAGCCTCCCAAAGTGCTGGGATTACAGGCTTGAGCCACCGTGCCCGACCTAATCTATGCTTCTTTATAGAAGATCTAGTGGCAGGGTTAGTAAATGTTCCACCATCTGCAGGGGTAGAGATGGACATAAATGACAATCCCGCTATCTGTGACAACTGTAAGGTGAAACAGACACATCTGTGGTTCTCACAAGGGACAAGCCATGCATGTTCCTATGGCCACAGTTGCCTGCTTTCACAGCCAGAGGAGGTGCTTTCCAAGTACCATGGAAATAAAGACGTCCCATGTTCCCATTCAAACCCAAGGGCTCCGGGTTCTGCTGTAGCACCCCGGGGTCCACAGACCCCCGCTGCGTGTAGCCTTCCATTCTGATCCTCCACATCTTGATCTCATTAGCATTTCTCTGTCCAGTGGTTTTCTGTGATTTGAATTTGAATTGAATGTCACCGGGTTCCATCACACGGATGTGCTAGAATGTACCTGCCCAGCCTTGGCATCTGTGGACATTGGGCAGTTCTGACACACTTGTGCTGCATGTCCAGCACCCTCATCTGTTCGGAGAGCACGGGCCCATGACTGACCCCCACCGCATGCTGCCTGGGCCCGTGTCATCCTCGGGATGCCTGGGGACACGTTTCTGTCTTGCTTGGCATTTACATCCAGAGCTTGCCATCTGCAGCTCATGGGTCCTCACCCGGTAGGCCCAGGTTTGATCACACACGAAACTGCTGTCCCGAGGAGTTCGTGCCAGGCCCAGAGGCACGTGGCTCATGAGAGGCCCAGCTGGGACTTGAACCCCAGAAGTCAGCCTCCTGCATTCCTATTCCGAGCCCTCACCCCTCGGTGCCCTTCTAGAAATGGAGCCCCGAGTCGCAGGCTGCTCGGTCTTGAGGTGTCCTGCTGCGTGTGACTGAGCTGTGGAGGGTCCCGGAGGACCCCTCCCTCATACCAGGCCCCTCATACCAGGCCTTGGAGCTCAGGCCTGTCTCTCCCTCTTCCAACCCCACCAGGGACGTACTGCTGCGGCCCGGTTCCGGTGCGTGCCATCAAGGAGGGCGACCTGAGCACCAAGTACGACGCCCCCTTTGTCTTTGCCGAGGTCAATGCCGACGTGGTGGACTGGATCCGTCAGGACGACGGGTCCGTGACCAAGTCCATCAACCGCTCGCTGATCGTGGGGCTGAAGATCAGCACAAAGAGCGTGGGCCGTGACGAGCGGGAGGATATCACTCATACCTACAAGTACCCGGAGGGTAGGCACGCCCGCGCCTCGGTGCACCTTACAGGGGAAGGGCCCTGTGTGCCAGCCCGCCGGGCCACGCGTGTGTGCGCTTCAGCGGGGGGCCGCACGCAGCAGTGACCTGTGGGTTCCTCTCCGTTTTAAGCTGCTCCTTGACAACAAGTGCAAACGAGGGACATGTGGAAGCGGTTATTCATTTAGGAAGAGAAGCCCAGAGTCCACGAAGGGACTTGGCTTCGTTTCTAAGGCTCACGTTTGTGGCTGGCTTGAAGGGAGGGCTCTCGCACAGGAGAGGCATGGGTCTGGGAACAGTGGGCCACGCGATGTTATTGTGCTGTCTGACAGCATCTATCAGCAGCATGGCCCACAGCTGTAGGTGGGCAAGCCCACGCTTTTGTATCGCAATGTGTTTGTTCCAGGGGACTCGGAAGTCTAGGGAGGCCACCGGGGAGTGTTTCCCTTCAACTCCACAGTGTTGGTTTTGCAATATTGACACACAGCTGGGGCAGTCAGCATGAAGGTGGATAGGAAGGGTTACATTAAAGAGAAGCGGGCCGGGAGAAACGGAAAGACAATGTGAGAATCCAGTCAGACACAGGATAAGGCATCTTTCTGCTGTGAATGTTAACTCAGTAGGGGGGAGGACTTGTTTTAGATTTTTTAATTGGATCTGAACACACCCAGCAGCCAATTCAACACAATAGGTGTTTCCTAAGCATCTACTGTGTACCAACCTCACAGCCCACAGAAAGACTAGGAGAGCATAGTCCTGCCCCCTCTGACCCTGTTAACCTCCAAGATTCACTGAGATCGGGTATGAGACGGCCATGCCCCAGCAGGAAGCAATAAAATGGAAGAAGTTCTTCCAGCCTTTGACGACCTAGAGCTAAGAGTTTGAAAGAAGAAAAGGTAGGCATCCATCAATCCTGGGGGAAATAAAAGGAACATAGGAGAGTGGTAAGTCGGGTATAAAGAAGGGAGCAGGCAGAGAAGGGAGGGAGAGGGTTTCAAGCAGAGGTAAATCCAGGCAAATGCTTGAAGATGAGAAAGTTTGCATTATATTCATGCCTAATATGTGCCGTTATATACACTGTGCACGTCATAAGGACAGGTAAAACTGTCTTAGCCCTTGAGCATCTCAAGAAGGTAAGCGCACACACAGAAAACAATGTGGGTGAGGAGTAGTCAGAGAAGGCTTGCTGGAGGAAGAGTCATGGGGCTGGGTCTCGAGGGATGTGTAGGAGTCGACTTGTGGAAGACACATAAAAAACCATTTTCTCCTCCTGGCGCAGAAGCATAGAGAAGACGTTCCTTCAGGGCTGTTCTGGGAAGCCCGACCCCTTCCACAGGACCCTATTCCCGCTGTGACTCGGGCTCTCGTCCTGATTCCCACAGGGTCCTCCGAGGAGAGGGAGGCCTTCACGAGGGCCAACCACCTGAACAAGCTGACCGAGAAGGAGGAGACGGGAGTGGCCATGCGGATCCGCGTGGGCCAGAGCATGAACATGGGCAGCGACTTTGATGTCTTCGCGCACATCACCAACAACACGGAAGAGGCCCGTGTGTGCCGGCTCCTGCTCTGCGCCCGCACCGTCAGCTACAACGGCGTCCTGGGGCCGGAGTGCGGCACCCAGCAGCTGCCGGACCTGGCCCTGGAGCCCTTCTCCGGTAAGGCCCCTGCTCCCGAGCCGCGGTGACCACCGCCGACAACCGCCGGGTCATGTCCTGAGCGCTCAGCGTGTGCCTTTGCCTCACAGACAAGCACGCATGCGGCATCAGGCCCCGTCGCGGGCACGTCCTCCATAGCCACCCGTGGCTTGCTCACCGCAGCGGCGGGAGGTGGATCTTCTCGTTGCTCCCATTTTCCATATGAGGAGACAGAGGCACAGAGACGCCAAGTCACTGTCCCAAGGTCACACAGTTGGAAGCGCCAGGGCTGGGATTCTCCCCATCCTCCCAGCAGCTGTAGGGATAGTCTGATCTGCATGTGACCCCAACTGCTTTCCCAGGCCACCTGCTGTGCTCTGGGAGCTCATCCTCTGCCTCCAGCCCTGCTCACCCCTTGAAGCCTCTCCCTGCGGCCCCTCTGAGAGCCTCTCTTGTGTCCTGGACACTCCTGGCCTCGGGGAGAAGGGGATCGAGGCCCACAGAACTTTCTGGGAGGATGGGCTACGTCTGCACGGACCCACTGGTGGGTCCAGCTCCCTGCGGCTGCTGAGCGCTTGGCATGTGGCTCGTGCGATGGCAGAACTGAAGCTTTGCCTTAAGTCAGGCAGCGCACGTGGCCAGAGATGCCGTACCAGATGGAGCCACACAGCCAGAGAGCCCCCGCCCCACGGAGGAGTGCTCTCCGGTGTCCCCAGCCCTGGCCTGGCCGGCTGGTCAGGCAGATCCCTCCCTGTGAAATAGTGTCTTTAGAGGACCCGCCCCCGGCCCTGAGCCTTTGTCCTGCTCAGTCTTGTCCCCTCAGTGCCTTCTGGCTTGGCTTGGTCACTGTGCCCGTTATCTTCCCAAAATAAGGCCGAGGCTGAGAGGGTTGTGCACTAGAGGCAGCCCGGAGCCAGGCAGAGCTCTGGGCTCTCACCACCCGGCCTACAAGGCAACCCATTCCGTTTCTCCCATTGTGGAGCCCTGCAAACAGGAGGAGGGCAGAGGGATTGGGGGCCACGGGAGGGGCTGGGGGAGGGACCAGGGGAGGGACGGGGTGGGGGCTGTGGGGCGAGATGCTGGTCGTCCTCTAAGGGGCAGCAGGATCCAGTAGGACATCATCCCGGGGCAGCATCTCTCTGTGCCACCTGGGCAAATGGCCACCCCAACCCCAGCATCTCAGTGTCCCCTTCAGGCACATGGGGGTCGTGATCCAACAGTGCAGAAGTATCCAGGGTAAGCGGCGGGCACTCAGTAGGCACTCGGTCCTGGGAGCCAGCGCCACCCTGCTCAGAGATGGTGGAGAGCCCAGGGTGGGACGCAGGCGAGGCGTGTCTTCAAGGCTCTGCTGCTCTCCCTCCCCCAGCTCCTACTGCCCCTCTGGCCTGGACCCTCAGCACCATGGCTGGCGTATGGGCACAGCCTTCTCGTTCCTGAGAAGGCAGCTCCGTGTCTCAGGTCGGGTGTCTGTAGCCTTGACGGTTGCCTGCTGGTTTTCCACCTCGGGCGCTACGGGCACTCCTGGAGCCACAGCCCCAGGGCAGGCCCATGTCAGGGCGCAGGCAGCCCTCAGCAGGGCCTGGCCCTTGGGGCAGAGCCCACAGGCAGCCCTCAGGCAGGACCCAGCTCTATGCTGCTGAAAGGTGTTTTCTGAGGCCAGGCTGACCTGGCTCTGGATCTTGCCTCTGCACCTTCTGCATGTGCTCTCTGGCCTCTGATGACACTCGTCCACTAAGTGGGTGATGACACGCCTACCTGGCAGCCGGGCAGCCGTAAGGACCGGAGGAGGAGGCATGTGCTCAGGCAACATCTGGCAGTGCACAGTGGTGCCGGGACGAGGTGGAATGCTCACTCCTTGCTGAAAAATGCAAGGAAGTGTGGGAGGCTGAGAGGCTGTGGACCTCATCTAACCACCTGCTGTGGGTCAGCCCTGGTGGTGTGCAGAGGACCAAGCCCCCCTGGCCTCTCAGTCAGGCCGGGACGGGGGTGGAGGTCCAGCCCTATGGGTGTGTGGGGTTGTGTGACACCCAAGTTCGAGTTCCCACAACCTGCCGACTGCTGTAGGATCCTTCTTGGCTGCGGGCTCCGTTTGAATGCACACCCTCCAGCTCCTCCTCTGCTCAGAACCGCTCTGGGGAGAAAGCATCCCTCCTGGAATGTGTGGCGTGAGGTGAATCCTGACTGGCCACACATGCCCAGATCACTTCCTCCCAGGCCTCTGCAGCCAGCCTCGGTCTCCCAGATACATCTGCACTGGCTGCCTTGTCCTGCAGTGACTCCCGTCATCCTGGGGACTCTCCCAGCAGAGGGGAGGTCAGAGGGTGGTGCATCACCCTTTGGCTAGAAGGTGGGGCACCCAGCTCCACCTGAGAAGGGTTCTGTCCCACCCTAACCCCCATGCTGAGGCTTAGTCTTGTGATTCCTGGCTGATAAGATCTGGGGATTTCCATGTGCTAGCAGACAGGAAGCCAGGCCCAGGACAGCTAAACAGAATCCAGCTGCTCCCCACCTCTGCCTCCTTGTTCTGCTGCTTTTCTCTCTTCCCCTTCCTGCCTCACCCCTCCTGGGGGTCACCGGAATGGACCCAATGTGGCCTCGGTGACCATGCCCAGGGCACCTACTAGAAAAGGGCAAATTGTCTAAGGAATGACTGAGACTGACTGGCCGCACACATTTCCTCCTCCTGGCCAGCATCTGGCCCAAGGCCGAGGCCGTGGCCACTGGCCTGTGAACAGCGGCTTTCAAAGGTCTGGCCCTGCCCTGGCCTCCACCTCCTGGAAGAGTCAACAGTTGGGGTCACATCCTCCGGGTTCCTGGAGGACAGTGTTTTCCTTCTCTCCCCTGGAGCCGGTCAGAGTTTCCACTCTGCACCACCAGGTCCCGACCTAGTAATTTTCACTCCCTTTTGTCCTTTTTGGCACAGAAATGTGGTTTTCTTCCCCAGATCACATCATCTGATCAGAGGCAGGGGCAGATCCGCCTATAAACGAAAGGATAAGGCTGGCATTTTCCAAGGAGGGGGACGTGGACACCAGAGGGCACGGTCAGGGCTTGACCTTGAATCCCAGGGGGAGAGCGAGTGTCTCCGCGGGTCCCAGCCCGCCCTCAGTGATCCCATAGGAGAGTCTCTGTGGTGCTGGTGACCTCTGCACCTTTACCCTTGCTAGGCTTCCTGTTAACAGTAAATCCAGGTTTCACACAGGGAACTCCGCAGATCACTGTGTCTAGAATGGAAAAAGCGTGACTCTGTATGGAATTGTGCTGATTTCCTTCTGTTTGTGGTAAATGAAAGCAATTTGCTGTAAGTAATAAGAGTTTCCCTAAGCAAAAAAAAAAAAAAGTTTAAAGACATAATGTAAGTAGACTAAAAGAAAAATAATGAGCATGTAATGAAGCTCTTCTCAGATATGTGAAAAGCCGGTGATGGCTGGAGTTTAGAAGTGCTGGTCTTGTGAGGGGACAGAGGGAACGGGTGGGAAGGGATCAAGCTGCTCTGTTGTGGTGACCCTGACTCCAGCCTGAGGGTCGGATGCTGGCGAGGGGGGGTGGCCGGCGCCAGGGGGCCCAGGGAGCATCTTCTGTCAGACAGGGGAGGCCCAAGGAGCACCAGGGACTTGCCCAAGGGTCTCATGAGGGAGGGGACTACAGGGCCCCACCAGCCCCGGGGGTCTCAGTCCTGTTCTCTTGTTACTGCTGCTTCCCCTGCCTCCTGCAAACAAATCCCTGGTACGCTTGGGCCTCAGTGTTCTTGTCAGAAACATGGGGCTGAAAACCATACTTCATGACCTGTAGTGGGACGCTTTGGCCCTGCCGGCTGCTGGCGTTTTTCTTGTCCCCTCGCCACCCTGTGGCTTATACTCTGCGATGACCTCCGGCCTTAGCTTTACCCAGCATAGTGCCAGATGTCCTGGGGACCGAGGGGGCCCAGAGAGAAGGCATCTTCTCAGGCCGACGCAACCCAGTGACCAAGCAGGGCCAGAGGCCAGGTCTCCGAACGAGCACTGGCTGGCAGAGCTGCTTCTCCATCTGTGCAATGGGTATAGTCCTACTGACCTCCGGGAGGGAACGAGACTACCTCCGTGAGAGGCACTCTTCGGGGAATGTGGGCCGGACTCCTGCTGATGGACTCGGGTCTGGATGGACAGTTCAGATGCCTGGTTGGCACGTACCAGCCTCATGAGGTGATGCTATTCAGTTTTCTCATCTGTCAGTTGGGCCGTAATCCAAGTAAGCCCTTGAGGACTGGTGGGAGTGAAGCAGGAGACTGTGTGAGCCTCCGGGGACGTGATGCCGAGCATGCCAGGATCTTCCACATACCTGTTCGGCCCACCCACCCACCGCCCAGAGGCAAACACGGAGGCCCCGGAGGGGGAGTGGCTTGCCCAAGGCCACAGTTAGAAGAGACGGAGGAGGAGACAACCCAGCCAGAGAGGGCTCCCGCACCTCCCCCGCAGGCTGTTTTGCCGGCTCTCTGGCTCCTCCCCGGGGCCCTGGCTGTGTGCCCTCAAGCACGTTCCTTCCCTTCTCTGTGCCTGTGGAGCCGCTGGGGAGGGGAGCCGCAGTCTGGCCTCACGAGCGCCCTCCCCTCGCCCTCTGCAGAGAACAGCATTCCTCTACGCATCCTCTACGAGAAGTACTGCGACTGCCTCACGGAGTCCAACCTCATCAAGGTGCGGGGCCTCCTCGTGGAGCCGGCGGCCAACAGCTACCTGCTGGCGGAGAGGGACCTCTACCTGGAGAACCCAGAAATCAAGATCCGGGTAAGGGGCAGGCTGGGTGGGGGTGGAGCAGGGTCCCAGGCAGCCCCCCACCACACACCTGTCCCGACCCCTCAGGACCTTTGGTGCCACATCCAAGACAAGCATGAAGCTGGAAGAATGTGGTAGTCTGGGAGTGAATCTGGCGTCTTAGAATCATGGAAGTGTTAGACTACTAAGGCTGGACCCCCGGGCACTCAGCGCCACCTGGTACAAGGCACAGACTGGGGTGTCCCAGCCTGGGTCTGTGCCCTGTGACCCTGGGCATGTCACCTCACCCTTCTGTGCCTCTGTTGATTCTGCAATAGGGAGTCAATACTAGCACCTGGGAGTGCTGTCAGGATGAAAGGCATATCCACAGGAAACACACAGAGCCACACTCAGCACAGGATGAGGGCTCCATGAAAGCCAACTGTACTCGTCACCGTCATCACCACCATTATCAGCGTGATTTGCATGGGAGTGCCACAGCCAAGGGCCCCGATGCGGCCGTCACACAGGGTGGGAGTCGGCAGGGGAGGGGCAGTGCTGTGTGCCCTCCGTGAGGAGTTTGCCGTGCTCGCTTGGCTTATCCTCAAGACCCTGAGCCCGTGCCCACAGAGGCCAGGATCAGCCAGGCTCCCCAGCCTGTCACCTGTCCTCTCCAGACCCAGAACAGGAGGCCCCTGGGTCCTGGGGGCCCTCGCTGCGGCTCCCCAGAGAAGATCCAGGCAGGTAGCACTGTCTATGTTTTCCATTGAAGAAACCAAGGCACAGAGGCCGGGAGTGACAGAGCTGGGCGCAGCTTTGTCCAGCAGACCTTGGGCCCAACTGCAGCAGATGCAGAAATGGCCCCCCTGGCCCCTGCGGTCCCTGACCCCTCCCGTGCCCTCCTCCAGGTCCTGGGCGAGCCCAAGCAGAACCGCCGGCTGGTGGCTGAGGTGTCCCTGCGAAACCCGCTCACCGTGCCCCTGTTGGGCTGCACCTTCACGGTGGAGGGGGCAGGCCTGACGGAGGAGCAGCAGGCCGTGGAGATGTACGTATTGCCTCCCGGGCCGGGGGAAGGAGGAGGGAGGAGTCAGAGGCAGGGCCACCCTCGGGTGCCAACCTCCCCGAACCCACTCCTGTGGGTCTCCCCTCATCCAGCCCTGCGTCCCCTCCCAGACACCCTCAGCTGAGTTCCCACCCCAGCCCAGGCACACACGTTTGCCGACCTGAGCAGTGGCACCTTCACCCACCCCCTCCAGACACTCGGCTCCTCCCGGAGGCACATGCATGTGGGGGGTACCCTCCTAGACACACGCCTGCGTGCGTGCATACACACGAGCACACGCTTATTTTTGACTTACTGCCGTATAATGCACATGCATGACGAGCATGAGTCACACAGGAATCACATGTGGCCACGGAGCGTGCCCCTCTTGGGCCAAGCGCACGGCCTGTTCCCCACACGCAGGCACGCATGGACACACACCCTCGGCACTCAAGGAGGGCAGCTGGTCCAGGCCCGGGCCCCGCCTCACCCTCTGCCCCCTCGCCGCAGCCCTGACCCCGTGGAGGCCGGGGAGGAGGCCAAGGTGAGGGTGGACCTGCTGCCGCTCCACGTGGGCCGTCACAAGCTGGTGGTGGACTTCGAGAGCGACAAGCTGAAGGCCGTGAAGGGCTACCGGAATGTCATCATCGGCCCCCCCTAGAGGACCTGCACCCGCCCCACCACAGCCTGCCCAAGCCCCCAGCTTGCCCCAATATTTGTCCCCAGTTAGTGAGAAAAATGTGCCCCTTCTTGGGCCCCGGACCCCAGGGCAGGGGTGGGCGGCCTGTGGGGCCCACGTTGGCCCCAGAGCCTAGTTCTGCACCCACCGCCTCAGCTGTGAGGAGTGCTCTGTGCCCACAGTGGGAGCCCTGACCCTGGCTGACTGGGGCTGGGGTGGGAGAGGAGGAGCCCATCCCGCCCTCTCCGGCCCAGATTCCGTTCAGAAAGCCGCCAACCACCTGCCATATTGTTTGGCCTACACCACAGCACACTTCTACAGCGTGCCCACGCCGGGTCAAGGAATCCAGCTTCCCAGACGGTCCTGAGCCTCCTCCCCGAGGGCACCAGCCCCAGGGGGTCCTGGGGGGAGCCAGACCAGGTGGGGATGGGCACGGGCCGGCACTCTCCTCCACATCCCAGCAGCCCTGGCTCAACAGCCCCCACCCACATCTTACCACTGGGAGGCACCAACCGTGTGACAGGCGCCTCATGTAGTTGCTGAGGCTCACAGGGCCACCAACCCCATAATCTCCACGGGAAGCTGAGGCGGGAGACTGAGGCCTGGAGAGGGTAGGCGGCCCCTTTCACACCAACCACAGCCTGGTGGTTATTTGCAACGCTGGGGAATGCCAAGGCCCGGGAACAGCACCCAAGCCTCTGATTCTGTGTCCGGTGCTCCATGTATGACCCCAGCCTGACCTGAGGATGTCAGCAAAGCCATGCTTCTATTTGGCCCAGCTTTGTGAATAACCACAGGGTCCGCTCACTGCTCCACAGAGCCTTGGGACACAGGCCCGGAATGCAGAAAGCCATGACTGTGACCACCGTCCTGCCCCTGCCCTGTCTTGGTCCCCACTTGCGCCTGCCAGGTACCTCCCTCCAGAACCCAGTTCTGGGGGAGAAGAGTGCTGGATACCCCTGCCCTACCCATGAGGCTGCCCACCACACGCCCACATGCCACAAGAGCCCCGGCTGCCATGCTGGTCACTAACCGCCATGGCCGGTGCCTAAGCCACCCCTTCTCTGCAGGGCTGGGGCCCCCAAGCAGTCCCTGCCCTGAGTTGGCTTGGGGGCAGTGAGTCGTCATCTCTGGTGTTCTCTCCTGTTCTTTTTATGGGCTGGAAGGTAGGGGAATTCTCTCTTCGGGTGCGGTCTCAGCCTCCAGGTCCTCCAAATCCCAGAGAGGGACTTGGGGAACATCACGCTGCTGCATTTAGAACTTTCTGCTTTGCACAGGGAAGAGTCATGAGATGAGCCGACACGTATGTTTTCTATATAAATACGGCGCTGTTTTTGTAAGGTTTTAGAAAAGCTTTTGGGTTCTGAGCAGGCAGTAGATGCGCTTCTGAGCCACAAGGAGCAAGCACTGAAGTAAAGTTTATTTTTCACATTCAAACAGGGCTTGGTCGGGTCCTTTCTGAGCTTCAGAGGGAGGTGGGTGGGTGTACTCACTCACACCTGGACCCCCACCTCCTGCCGAAGAGCCTTTCCTGAGCTTCAGCCTCCAGGCTTAAACCTGGCTGGCATTTAAAGTTCTACACACTCTGGCTCCATCGCCAGCCCCTTTCACCAGCAATCGGTGTTTGGGCCACAGGAGCCTCCTGTATCCCCTGAACAACCTGTCTACCTCTGCTTTTGTATGTGTGGCTCACTGAGCAATGGTGCACCTTTCTACTTCCTTATCGTTGTGCAAACTCCTACTCATCCTGTGATGCTATAAAGTCACCTCTTCCGTGAAGCTTTTCCTGATTTCTTCTCAGGGAAGAATTCCACTCACTGGAAGAGTCTTGGATTATGGACCAGCTTGAACATCTGTTTTACTTCCACGTTAACATTATCTACCCCTGTCCCTTGCTACGTGAAGCCCTCAAGGGCAGGGAGCAAGTATCTCTTCAATAGACCAATAGATGCTGAATTAGTAAATCAATGTGTTTCCACTCAGCTCGTACAAGACCAGTGCTATCTGTCAGAATCACAACATGAGTCACAAACACAGGCCCACCGATAACAATTTAAAATTTTCTAGTATCCACATTAAAAAGAGTAACAAGGATCAGGTGAAATTAGTTTAGTAATGTGTTTTATGTAATCCAATGTATCCAAAACATTATTTCAACTCGAAATCAATATAAAGCTTATCAGTGAGATGTTTTACATTCTCATTTTCATATGACGTCTTTGACAAGTGATGTGTTTTTGACGCTGACAGCCCATCTCAGTTCGACTGGCTGCATGTCGCGTGCGCGGTCGCCAGGGCAGCTGGTCCTGGAGGCTCTGGTCTTCCTGCACGTCTGTGAGTGCGGGGAGGCAGTGCTTCGTCTCTTCCCCACCACGAGGCACTGAGGAATTCCTGCTGAATGAACAGATGAGGGACAGTCCCCACCCTCAGGGACCTCATGCGGGAAGACATGACGTGCACATAAAAAAATCAAAACAGAGACACAATGTCACATTTTCTGGGTGCTGGATCCTTCTGTTCCTTGAATTCTGCCCCCTGGCGCTGGCTGGGGCAGCTGGAGCACCGTATCAATAAGTCATTGGCTGGGCAACAGAAACCGCAAAGCTATTTCAGGCAGAGAGGGAGTTCAGAAGGGAAACTGATTCCAGAGGTGCTGTGGAGTGGAAGGAGCAGGCAGGATGAGGGGCGTGGCCTGGAAATCTGGATGAGCAGCACCGTCACCAGCGCCACCAGCAGCCCAGAGCCAACCAGCGCCTGTGACCGTCAGTGTGGCCCAAGCCATGGGAGGCTGGCATCTCCCGTCCTCCTGCCTGCTCCCCACTGGCAGATCTTCACTAGAAACTAGCTGGCAGGGGCTTCTAGCCCCCTGAAAAACAGAGATGGTAGGCGAGGATGGGGATGCAGCAGCTGGTACCTACTGCCACTCCGTCTGCTAAGAAGATCCTCTCTACCTAAGGGACTCTTACTCAGCCCGCAAAACCCTGCTCCAAAGCAGCCTCCTCTGTGAAGCCTTCCCAGACTGCAGCCAACTGCTTTGTCCTCTGGATCTCCTCAGCATGTCATGGAAAGTCCTTTGCAGCACTTGGCAGCCTGGGTTCTGCAGTCCACATGCCTGCTCCGTGTTCTGGAGCAACCTGGGTGCAGGGGCAGGGGCAGGGGCAGGGCCCGCTCCCAGCAAGGGGGTCCGAGCAGACTCAAGACTCAAGCTCTGGCCCCCAGGCCTGATACCTGTCCCCCAAAAGGCAGGGGCAGGGCTGGGCCAGCCAAGTCTGCTGAGGCTGGGCAGGTGCAGGGGCCTCTCAGACCAGCCCCTAGGCCTGCCCCACTGCTGGGGCCCCTAGCCAGAAGCTCGGGAAGGGGAAGGATACCAACCCCACAAGTCACACAGGCCCATTTTACAGACAGAGAAAATGAACCTGAGGTCCCGCTCCCCAAACCCGACGCGACGGCTGAGTCCAGGGCCCTGTAGTCCAGTGCTGGGTCCCGCTCCGTGGCAGCTCCAGGCTGCCAGGTCCCCATCCAAGCTCAGCTCCTAGCCTGGGGTGAGGGACCTGGGCTCTGAATCAAAGCTGGCTCTGCCACAGTTCATGTGGCTTCAGGCAGGTTCTCACCCTCTCTGAGCCTCTACTTCCTTATCTGTTGAATGGGGATGGCATGATATCTACCGCAATTTCAGTGTAACAGCTACATAAGGTACTTAGCTGCTGCTGGCACATTCACATCATAATGGCCAACATTTACCGCAGGTTGGAAATTTTTGCATGCACTGAGGTATTTACTCTCCCCATTTTATAAGAGTAAAAAACTCAGGCATAGAGAGGTTAAGCAAGCCGCCCAAAGTCACATCGCTGGTGAGTTGCAGCACTGAGCCTGGAACCCACGCCTCCTGCCCTCCCCAGGGCAGGGCCTGGCTCAGAGAGGCCTGGTCTCTCTCTGCACTCCCTGTCTGCCATACTCCAGGGCACTAGGGGCAGGGGCTTCCCATGAGCCTGGACAACCCTCTTGGCAAGGGTTCTGATTGGGTCCATCCTCCGCCCCTAAAGCCTTTCTCCTCTCCAGCTGCCCTTGTTTACCTAGGATGCCTGCCAGCTCACCCCTCGGTGCAAGCCAAGTCCAGCATAACAGAAAGTTGATGGAGTCCAGGAAGGAGGGGCACAGGGCAGAGGCCAGGCTGGGGCCTCCAAGCAGCACGTTTACCTTGGGGCCGGGGCTAGGGCAGAACGTACACTCCTCGGCCTCCCCACGTCCCTCCCAGACAGGCCTGGGCAGAGGCACAGGGACACACACCTGTGAGTCCGTGAAGCCCTGTGTTCCATTTCAAGAGGGCAAGCCCAGGGGAGCCATTACAAGCACAAGTGACGGTGCTCCAGCTGAGAGAGACCGTGGATCTCCAACACACAGCTGCAGGCCGCACAGGCCCATGCAGAGTGGGAGACAGACACAAAGGACTGAGTAGGATCCCACCCCCAGGAAGTTCATTAGCAGCTGGGACCAGGCCCCCAGGAGGCAGAGACCAGCAGGCAGCATGAGGGGCTTCAAGGGTGGGACAGTTTTGATTTTCTAATCCAGGTACTGAGTGAACAAGAACCTACAGTCTGTGGAAATGCACCAACTGTATACATGCAATAAAGCTCTTTCTGTGTGTGTGATATGCTCCAATAAAAGCTAGAAAAATTCAGTCCTCAAATGTCCTAAGTCCAAAGGACTTGGAATCAGCTTTTTTGAGTCCCACTCTGCTCCAGGTGCCATACTGGGCCCCCACAGGGAGCACAGGGGTTTTCAGGGCAGGCTTGAGGGCAGGTGCTTCGGGCAACTGGGCTCCTGAGAGCTCTCTGTTTCTTTTCCTGGGAGATGGGGTAACCTGTGGGTGTTCTGGGAGTCTTAAGCAAGATGCTTCACATATAAAAAAATCAGCCTGTAAGGCTGGGGTTTTGTTTGTTTCACTTGCTATAAACAGTGTGTGACACATCATAGGCCACCAGTGAACATGGTGAATGAATGAAGGAATGAATGAATGAATGCTAAGCTGTGTTTTTATGCTCTCAGCTAGTCCTCAGAACAGGCGACGGGGATCATCATCTCTTTTCCTAGATGGGCAAACTAAGGCTCAGCGATATAA